AGGTTGACGGCGATGGCGATTGAGGGTGTGTTCAGGTGATCGATGGGGGATAAGTGAAGGCGACTGAAATAAAGACTTCGTGAGCGCGCCCATCTTGGAAATGATGGAGTTATGCTTGGCCCCCGGGGCATAGGGCCAACGAAAACAGTAAAGCAGACTGCAAAGGCTGCGCATTTCAAATGGTCTGTGCCCGTGAGAGATCATGACCCCTTCTTCAGCTCCCAGTCAGTTGGTCAACTACCCCTGCCCCGCCAGCGCTGAGTCCTCAAGAACCCACTCGCATATCAACCCCTCGCGCATCATAACCCGTCGCAATGTGGCCAAAATCCCGTGCCTGCCACATCACGATGATCCCGCTGGCTCTGAGAAGACACGTGCATACTTCCCAAAACGGGCGTTTCGCCCTTGAGGTTGACGCGAAGGACTCGTGCCATACCCCATGCCCCCCCCCCCTCCCCCAACCCTTCCTGGGAGGCCCAAATGCCATGCCTGCTACATCACGGTGACCATGGGGCTCTGAGAGGAGACGCACATACAGTCGGGCCGCTGAAAGAAGGAACGCTAAAGAAGGAACGAAGCCCCTTCTTGGCCCTGTGAGCGCCTCCGTGCCCCAGGAGGGGAGGGCAAGAGGAACAGCACTGGAGGAACCCAAGGAACATCGAGCCCCCTCCGAACCCAAACTGTTGTTGTTTTTTCAGGGTCATGGCTGTACTATCGGTTGGTCGCTGAGTTAGAAATTCGTGAATTGCTGCGCGTTCTCGTTTACACATCCTGAGCCGTCTGAGTAGCTCGTTCCATATAAGGCCGAGACGGCCACCTCACCCCGCGAGAGAGTGGTATTCGAAGACTCTGCGTGCCTCCAAGCCGCGTCATTATTATTATCATGGCTGTACTTCCCCTGGCCAAATCGAGGTGACCATGGGGGTTCTGAAACAAAACGCTAAAATGCATAGGCTGCCCGCAGCTGGTTTCGCCCGAGGGATCTCCACAGTCCGGGCGCTAAGGGGCTCGTGTGATACTCAGTGGCGGCTCCTCCTCCTCCTCCTCCTCCTCCTCCTCCTCCTCCTCCTCCTCTTCCTCCTCCTCCTCTTCCCCCCCCCTCCTCCTCCTCTTCCTCCTCCTCCTCCTCCCCCCTCCTCTCCTCCTCCTCCTCCTCCTCCTCCCCCTCCTCCTCCTCCTCCTCCTCCTCCTCCTCCTCCTCCTCCTCCTTCCTCCTCCTCCTCCTCCTCCTTCTCCTCCTCCTCCCAAGTGCAGCGCCTGCTGAACTCCGGTGATCCCAAGGCTGTGGGAAGCGACGCGTGTCCTTCGCAAGACAAGCGTTGCGCCTGGGATCTCCCCATAAAGATGGGCGCAAACGGGCCCGTGCCTCTCCTCCCTGCGGCTCCCCAGTGGGAGGGCTGCTGCAGGTAGGAGTGGAATGCTGAGTGTGAGTCAGTATGAGCGCGCACGAGTTGAGTACGAGTGAGTTTGCGTATGCTGAGTACGAGTAAGTCTGACTGCGGGTGAGGTTGAATATGAGTGAGACTCCGGCCTGGAAGTCTTGTAACCTGTTACACGATGTGTGATTGAGTCAGAGCATGAGTAAGTGTGAGTGTGAGCGATCCGAGTGCGAATGCGTCTGCGTGTGAGCACATCTGAATCTGAACATGGGAGAGTTCTGAACACGGGGAAAAAGCGGAAATGAGACTGAGGTGGGGACGTGGCAATCAGGACAAGAATACCGGACTTCGGACGTGGGGAGCTACCCCATACGTAGGAGCAGCGTCTGCGAGTGAATGAGTCTGCAAATGAGGAAGCCTGACAATGTGTGAGTATGAACATGAGTCTGGGCGCATGAAGCCCGACTATGGCCGAGTTTGAGTGCGCATGGCGTCGGAGTGTGAGTCAGTCTGCACGGTTTGATTATGAGGGAATATGGGTCTGAGCAAATGTGATTATGAGCCGACGTATGAGTGTCAATGAGAACGAGCGCGTCTGCATGTGAGCGAGCCTGTGTGAGTGAGCCTGAGTATGGGAGGAAGGGAGGTGACAGAGGAATCGAATTAATAACAAGAACCTCATTCTTAGAATTGGTAAGCATCGTGGACCCCCCAAAACAACGAAGTTCTGCCGCTAACGCGGTGCAGTCTAGGTGGCGCAATCCATGTAGCGCAAGGTGGTACAACCCATGTGGTGCAACCCATGTGGCGCAAAGCAGTGTGGAGCAGTGCAATGCACAGCAGTGCGATTGCAGAGCAGCGCGATTGCGCTGCAGCGCAAGGCAATACGATGCAAAGCGACGCCAGGTAATGCGAAGCAAATCGGAAGAATGCAAAAAGATGCAGAGCAATGCAAAACACGGCATCAGATGTTGTTCTTCTTGTTGCCCGGGGAGATCCAGCTGCATGAGTGAGCCAAATTCGACGTCAAGGGGCGAGCCCAGCCGATCAAGGCAGGGCTCAAACACAGAACAGACAGCAGCGAAATATGATCAAGTACGGGTGTGCAAAATTCCTAAAGGAAAGCAATGCCGCAAGACCCGGCACGATCAGCTGGAGCTGTCCGAATCGGCAGTCGTTGCCCGAGGAAAACTAGCGACAGCAGCCGAGGCACCAGCTGCACCACAAAGTCTGTAGACATTCGACTGTAGGCGCGTCTCCTCATCTAATTGACGGAGAGACTGAACCACAGTGCGGAGCTCGCTGTGGCAGGAGCTATTGGAAGGAACTGGCTGGACATGTTCTCCCTCAGGCTCGCTGTCAAACAAAACTCGAACGTATTGGCCGTGATGGGGATGACAACCGGGCAGAACACGATTACACATCGACTGCTGGCGGCAATCTTTCAGCTCTGGACAACCCTTCAAGTAAAGGTTGGAATGGAGACGTGAGCATGTGCAAACTGACGAGGTACAGAGCAACCACACAAGGAGAAACGAGCGGCCCGAGCAACAAAGCAGACTATACTGCGCTTGTTGGCTAGGACTCGATCAACGTCTAAGGCAATATCAATTCCGAACAGCGTCTCGGGGCGGCCTAAAAGGTGCCATGTCGACCGAGAACTCGGCCTTTCGAGTAAAAGCAACGTTCGCAGCGCAAGACACCCCCGACCCAAGAAAACGAACACAGCAATCGAGTGACCCTCACTGGGTTCGGCAGTGGAACGTACTCGACATATCCCTGTGACCTGAGGGAGGGAAACAGGGGCATCAAACGCATGGCAATCTTGCAAAACCCTCAACGACGTTCACCGGCCGATCACCAGTGGCCAAAGTCTCGCCGTCGCTCGAATGGAGGAGAATAGCTTCCTTCGCGCCGAGGCCGGCCATGTGCTTGCCAGTGCGCCTGTAATTACAAGCGTTGGTCCGAAGTAGAAGGACGGATGGGCATAGCAATGCAAAACCATGGAATGCAATGCGAGCCAATGCAATGCAATGCAAGGCATAACAGCGAGACACAGTGCGAAGCAATGCAGGTCCAGACGACGGGCGGCGAGGACGCGACGACGGGGCGGCGACGGGGCAGCGACGGCGACCACACAGCCGCCAGACCGACGCGCAGGCCCAGACGACGTGCGGCGACGAGGCGGCGAAGGGGCGGCGACGGCGACCACACAGCCGCCAGACCGACGCGCAGGCCCAGGCGACGTGCGGCGACGAGGCGGCGAAGGGGCGGCGACGGCGACAACATAGCCGCCAGACCGACGCGCAGGCCCACTTCCTGGAACACAGCTGCGAAGCTCTAATTGCAAGCGCTTTCGGGGGAGTGCGCACATGAATGCAATGTTAGCCAGTGTGGACCCGCAACAGCGTGTGCTCGAGCATACTCTGCAATGTGGTATGCGTGATGCAACTTACGCAATGCAATATATGCACTGTAACCTACGCAGTCCCAATCACCGCAATGCAATCGACGCAATGCAATCGACGCGATGCAACCTCAAGTCGCCCCACGTCGGTTGCAACATTATCTTTTAGGTTCTGTGGTGATAAGCATTGCCGTTGTTATGTTTCATGTGCGATGCTAAAGTAAACTGGGATGTGCTGTGCTAAGCTATGTTACGCTAGGTGTGTTAGCGGTAAGCTGTGTTATGATGTGCCATGCTACGCTAGACTGCGCGCGTGGACCAGTACGAATGGACGAATGGAAATGGCGGCGACGGACGGCTGCGACGAGCGGCGACACGCGGCGACGAACTGGCCGGACTAGCAACGGGGCCCAATGTAAATGGCGGCGACGAATGGCGGCAATGAGCCGACCGGACTGGCACCAGGGCCCAGCTTAGAACTGAAGTGAGAACCCCTGAAAACAAGCACTGTTTGGGGAAGAAGGAGAAACGGAGAAACCTAAAATAGCCTGACGAAGGACCCAACCAGTGCAACTGCGAGTGCCGCATTGTGGGTACCGCTGTCGGTGGAGCTCTCTATGGGGCCACGAAGCGTGCGAGGGGTGCGCCGAAATCCGTGGCGCGGACGCATGCGGACCCTGCCACTGGAGCTTTCGGTGGAGCTCCCTATGGGGCCACGAAGCGCTGTCCTGGGTGGCGGTGACGCATGCGGACCCTGCCACTGGAGCCTTCGGTGGGGCTCCATAAGGGGCCACGAAACGCTGTCCTGGGTGGCGGTGACGCATGCGGACCCTGCCACTGGAGCCTTCGGTGGAGCTCCCTGTGGGGCCACGAAGCGCTGTCCTGGGTGGCGGTGACGCATGCGGACCCTGCCACTGGAGCCTTCGGTGAAGCTCCCTATGGGGCCACGAAACGCTGTCCTGGGTGGCGGTGACGCATGCGGACCCTGCCACTGGAGCCTTCGGTGGAGCCCCCTATGGGGCCACGAAACGCTGTCCCTGGGTGGCGGTGACGCATGCGGACGCAGCCACTTGGGCCTTCGGTGGAGCTCCCTATGGGGCCACGAAACGCTGTCCTCGGTGGCCGTGACGCATGCGGACCCTGCCACTGGAGCCTTCGGTGGAGCTCCCTATGAAGCCACGAAACGCTGTCCTAGGTGGCGGTGACGCATGCGG